GGTATTCTGCTCTGGGTTTTGACACTTAACAGTTGCCATTGCCAGACCAATGAATTTATAATAAGAACTTTAAAAGAAATATAAATCTACTGCCTAATAGGCAAGTAGCAAGGATGCTTTTAAAAAAAGATGCTCTACTGATGAAACAGTAACATACTCTAGGAAATCAACAGTCACAGCAATGTACATTGAAGGAAGTCCTAGTTCATTAGTTTTGTCCTCACTGAACAACAGTGGTATTCAAGTATAACAGATTTAAGAGTCTCGGACTTAAAGTGATAACTCAGGATCTACCTGGGATCACTTTAAATCCGAGACTCTTAAATCTGTGATAATTAGTGGATCACTTTATCTCTACCTTGGAGATAAAGATATTTCACCTTGAAGCCCAGCAAACTCCCAGATGTACAATATCCAGTGATTTGGTATTAACTGTACTATAAAACCCATGCAAAAATTTAAATAAATAAATAGATAAAATTCAATATCTAGGATTCCTTAAAACCACTTTACTGAGGTGAAAAGTACTCTTTGATTTCAGTGGCAAGTCCATGTGCTTAGTTCTATCTGAAGCAAAGAAAGAGGGAAATAATTCCTCACATCCTTCACATTACACAGCTGTTAATCCAAAAGCAAAGCAAATAAAATGCACACCAACTTTTTGAAGCGGCAGCTCCAACCTCACTTCCATTCTAAGCAACTCACATACACAAGCTTTAAAAATCATCCATTATACAAACTGACAATCTGGCAACATGTTGGCTGAAGGAAAACACTTCCCACCCCTCCCAGTCCAATGCCCACAATCACCTTTCCTTGCTTGTTCTTCCCCTCCACTTCCCCAGATTGCCTGTGCTATTTATTTCCTTACTGAAAAATGGCTCAACGTGCCTCTGAGTTTTCTGCTATATTTGGGATATAACTAACTGCTATATTTGGGAGACAAATAACTCTCCAGCCAATTTTACCAACGCGCCTCACACCCACACTGAACACACCTCATATCGAACCTCTGCAGAAACATAGAAACTGAAGGGGTTGGAACCGACCCCAAAGATTATCTCATCCCAACGCCCCTGCCATGGGCAGGGACACCTTCCACTAGACCAGGCTGGCTCAAGGCCTTATCCAACCTGGCTCTGAACTCTGCCAGGACGTGGGGCATCCACAACCTCCCTGGGCAACCTGTTCCCATGTCTCACCTCACTCACAGTAAGAAAGAAGATGAAGTTGAAGCCAGCCCCCAGTTCGGTCCTTACTCAGACGTTACTCTGGGCCGTGGCAGCACAGGTCAGCAGCAGCACAGTAACCCCAACAGCAGACAGGCTTCCTATCTAGGGCAACAACAACAGCACGAGAAATTTCCACCCCCACCATTCATTCCTAACCTCTGTATCACGCACTTGGTCAGGTAAATAGTGTTATGCACATCTGGCACATGACCAAAGCTGTATCTTGATTACGAGTGTACTTTACATGAAGTATCAGGTATTAGGAACTGATAGCCCTGAGAAGAAGCAGGGCAGGGAAAGCAGACCTGCTGTAGTTTAATTTCTGTCCAACTGTTTCTGTTGAGCTCAATGCAGGTCCCACTAGGTACCTTCTGCAGAGAAGGAAACTGAAGCCACAGCTCCCAGACAATTCTGGCCACTGGCCAAGCCTTTTTCCATACAGCGTCTTTTAGTTTGCGTCCATATAAAACAAGCGAAAACAACTCACAGCTCCAGCATATCCAGGATTAAGGCAAGGTCCTCCCATCCACCACTCAGACCACAAAGAGCAGTCTAAGAAAGGGCCCTGGTGCTGTCAGGCTCCATGGCCACCACAGACCATGACAGAAACCTGCCACACCAGTCCCAGCATGTGTTTTACTTTCAGCGTAGAATAAGTTACTCTGAGCGAGTGTCCGCAGAAGGAATCACCAGTGCTGTGTTCAGCTTTCCTTCGTATGTGCCTGTCTGCAGAGTTCAACATTTTGAGGAAACACGCAGTTTCTAGGACTGTCAGCAGATTACGGGCACTCCTAATTTCCCTCCCCACCCCCAACCAAAAAACCAAGGAAACAAAAGCAAAGTACTAATAATTCCTATCCACTGTAAAGCATAGCTCTACCAGCAGAGGAGAAATACTCTCTTAAGCTTTCCCTTCCATACAGCTACTCTATTCCAAATGGAAACGTGAAGGAGAGCAACCCCAGTCACAGGGAGGACAAGAGGCAACTTAGGAACAAAGATGAACCAAAGCAGTCACTTTGCAGCTGCTCTATAACGCAGGAAAATCAAAGTGTGGTCAGCTTTTGAGATATGCCTTCCACAAAAAAGGTGGAAGACATTGCACCATCTAAATAGCATTCCAAACTATGAACAGACAGAACAAAACTGTAAATTTTGTTTCTCAGGAAATTGCTTTCCTCCTTCCATGCAACTTCCTTCTCTCCTGAGAAAACAAATGTCCTGCAACACAGTGACCACATGCTTAGTGGAGTACACAATGAAGATTTCCCTTAATGATTAACTCCAAATGTTTTTTAGCTTAAGCAATGCCTTATTCAGAAGAGCTTTCTTATAAACAAGCCCTCATTCATTTGTCAAGTTAACTACCTAACTCTATTTATCATTAACTTCAATAGATTTTGCATGTTTACTTGGCTCAGGCTACTGTTTGGTATTTAATTTTAATATTAACTTCATTTACAAGAGGCTGTATCTATTTTACTAGATATATATCTTCACAGATATCTTGGCATATATCTGTATGCAGTGCCTTGCTTTAGTGATTGGCTCCAGAGTGTTTTCTCTAGTGTTATAAAAGGGCTGAAGTATAACCCTTACTATAGGAAAAGGTGTCATCTGTTGAACTCTAATTATGCTGCAAATTTACAGCTGCTGCTGTTGGATTATTCAATCAGCAGACTTGCAGTGTATGTTCCAGAGAGCGTTAAAGGTCATACATGAGTAAAGTTGGCATGAGACGCAAACACCCAAATAGTGAAGACCTCATGAAAACCCCACCACAGGAGGGTTCCTGGGGGCACATTGTCTGTTTTAAGTTCATACAGTTCTGTAGTTTAAGACAACAACGAAGGGGAACTGATAAATACAAAGAAATGAAAGCTATGTTAGAAATGCATTAAATATTTTCCAAAATAACTTTTATGTGGAAATATTTAAGGCTTCTGTAGAACTGTGTTGAAATACAGATTTTTGTATGCATGCACAAAAAGCAGAAGAAAAAAGTAGCATGAAACCAAACTTTGCTAACTGTCTCTTATTTGGGAGAAAAAAATTGTTTTGGAGATTTATTTGTTTAAAACTTAAGATTTTCACATCTTCAGGAAAAAAAAAAGATGGCTTTAATTGTTGCAGTTAGTCTGAGATGCCAAATCATAAAGAATCAAACAGTAGAATCTAAAGGGAAAAAAAAATCATATGTTTCTATGGCCCGTCTGTAGCTTTATTTGCTAATTTTTGCCCTTGAAATTGGCAAGACCACAATTGCAAGTTTGTCTACAACAGTAAATGACAAAGCATGTCATATTCTTATTTTTATGCTGCAACAGTCCAAGATGAAAAGAGCAAACAAGTAAGGATAGACATTACCCTTACCCTGACAATCCTTTTACCACCCTCAGGGACTACAGCTCTCCATTTACTTTATATAAAGCAATCCTTAACTGACACCAAATTTCTCTGTAACCTCCATCTATATTTACTGAGCATCCTCACTGAACTATTTTTTCCTAACATAACTTAATTTTTCATATTTAGTTTTTGTTTTCCCAAAAGTTATAAGCTATATGCTATGCTATATGCTAAAATTATTACTGGGCAAACAGCATCACTGGATCAGCAGAGGTCTGTGCAGCCGAGGCAGGAGTGTTGGGCAGTGCACATGCACTCGTTTCCCAAATAATCTTCAAAAATGCACAGAGTGGATGCTGTAGAACACCAAAAAGCAAAATTTATCACAGAGGAACAGGACGGTAGAAATATTCATCCCGTTTCTTGCTCTCCTTTAACAGGTGCTCCCGTGACGTGGCCCAGAGAAGCATGCGCTGAGCGGTGCAATCACCTCTCCTGATCAGCATCAGCCCATCTCCCGAGCCCAGCTCCTCCTCTGCATCCCGGCGGGGGCGGGGGGCTCGGGGGGGGCGAGAGCCCCGCCGGGGCACCGGGCAGGGCCCCGGGAAGGCCTCGGCAGCGGCCAGGGATGCGGCTCCCGCCCGGCGCCGAGGGACGGAGGGACGGGAGCGGCGGCAGCGGGTCCGGCCGACGGCGGGAGCGACCGCGCTCGGCCCCTGAGGAGGGGATGGAGAACCGCGGGAGGCGCCGGAGCTGCGGGGGAGCCCCGAGCGGAGCCCCGGCCCGAGGCTGCGCTGGCGCGGGCAGCGGCGCTCCCGCCCGGGTTCAGCCGGGGCCGCCGGCCCGACCCCCGCTCGGCACCTCCAGGCGGCCTTTTGGGGCCAGCACCTGCTCCGAGCAGCGGCCGGGGCCGCTCCTGCCCGCCCGGACCGGGGCGCCGAGCCCCGGCACATCCTCCCGGCCCGGCCCCCGGGAGCCGCGGCCGCAGGGAGGGACCTGACCCCGGGTAACCTCCGCTCCCTCCCGGCTGACCCGGCCGCCTCCGCCCCGCCGGGAGCCCCCGTGGGCCCACCCGGCCCGGGGGCAGCGCCAGCCCCGCATCCCCTTCCCCGTGCTCGGGGAGACCCTCCCGCCCCTCGCCCGTCCTCATGCGCGAGGCGACCCTCCCGCCCCTCGCCGCGCCCAGATGCTGCCGAGGGGCAGAGCGAGGGGACCGCACCGGAGCTGCTCTGCCCCGGCCCGGTCCGTCCCGTCCCTCCCCCGGCCGTCCCACACTCACCGCGCCCGGCGCTGCCGGCGGAGATCGCGGCGGTACCGGCGGCGGTACCGGCTGCTAAAATGGCTGAGGGCGCGGGGGAGGAGCGAGCCCCGCTCGCCGCCGCCAGTGCCGCCCAATCCACCCGCCGCCGCCGTGACGCGCGGGGAAGGGGCGGGGGCGGCCGGGCTGGGCCTCGCCGGGCGGGGGTCGCGGGGCCCCGGCCCTGGTCGGCGCTCCGGAGATGTCCCGGGGCGTCCCCGGTTCGCAGGCGGGTGGAGGGGGTGTCACGGACACCAGGCCGCGGGCACAGCCCGGTGGCCCTGAGCCGCTGCGGGGCCTGTTGGTGCGGTGTAAAGCTCCCAGAGCCGAGGGGCACTCGGGCCTACGGGCACGTGGCAGAACCAACCCCCGCCCTCACCCAGAGCCCCGGGCACAGCCCCTGCGCTCCCGAGCGGGATCCAGCCTGGAGCAGCAAGGCCGCCGGTCCGGATCGTTCAGGCTGGAACAAACAGCTCAGAGGTTTGTATCCCAGTTTTGTCTCCTGACAAACTGGAGACCACCAAAGCCGAGGCAGAGGCCCCCTTGGTCTTTGTTCAGAACACAAGAAATGGGTTTAAGTGGCAGCGCTGACGAGAGCAACTGGGATTACTCACAGTGCGGTTCAAAAAGCCAGAGGCTACAAATATCCCCATGATTCATGCAAGAGTTTGCCAGATGGCTTTTCATGTTTTGGAGTCTGAGGCTTCTTCAGAAGAGAACTGGCACAAAATAACTTGCTTTTGACAATACCACTTCTTAATAACATGTAAAGGAAGAGGAAACATTCCATGCTCCATCTATGCCAAGCAGAAGTCCAGCACTATCCTCCCCCGCCCCATATGGACTGGGACAAAGTGTGAAAAAGCAAAATTAGCAAACAAGCCATTGCTATAATTGGTAACAGGAGTTTGCTCCCATAAAAGACAACACCTTGTAGGATGCTAAAATGTTCTGGCAACAACTGCACATGCAATGTCGATGTTGTATTTAATAATTCTCATTCTTGGAGAAGCCAAAAGCACATCACTTCCTCGGACGGAGGCTGAGCTGAATCACTGTGTGGGTTTTGCTCTGCTTGGACTATATGACACTTGGGGCAGTGTTATACTCTCACTTTGTTCTAATTTGTTTCAAACCTCATTGCTTTGCTTAATGTCGAATCATCACTAATGAGAGGACCTGGATTGCACAAGATGCCCAAAGGCATATCTATTTCATGCAGACTAAATACTTTTTTGATCTAAACTTCCAAAATACTTTGGAAAGGTTGGGAAACCAACTTGCCACAATTTTTTTTTCAACTAAAACACTGACACATGAGCCTATTTTCTAAATCTTTCTCTTAAACAGTAAATGGGTAAGAAAAACTATTTGTAATTTGTTCCAACTATTTTGTACTTCCTATAGTCTTAAGTTTTGAATTAATTGAGCTCAGATTTACCATGATGCATCTGGCTAGTGTGTGAGGAAGCATGTCTTGTGCCTAAGCCAGCTGGAGCACTGGAGAGGCCACAATGGGTCAGATCAATGCCTGAGTTAGAACACGATGCTGTTTCTGATGGTGTCTGGCCAACCCCTGGGAGATAAGGGCTGCTGCAGCTCAGAGACCTTGAGCTGGATGTAGCCTATTTCTGCTCTTGATAGACAATGGAAGAAAAATACAATTGCTTTCTTAATCCATATAAGCTTCCAGCATCTATGGCTTGATGTAGTTCCACAGGAACTTCATGCTGGCTGGAAATCACTTCTGTATGTTCTGTGCTTTCTGTCTGGTATTTCCATATGATGTCCCTTGACTTTTGCATTCATTAACCATGAATTATTATTCTCTCTGAGCTGTCTCCATGCCACTCCTCGTTTTACAGATTTGTAACACACATTCTTTGCACTACTACCTCATTTATCTCTCTTCTAGGCTGACATATCTCATGTTTTCCAGGTGCAGTTTCACAGTGCCTCCAATAGATTTAAGTTGGAGCTTCCATCTCTTTACCGCAGACTGTGTGTCCTTGCTCCCACATGGATTTCAAGTGCTCCAGGTTGTGCACTTCTGCTGAGTAGAACTCTCCCCTCACCTCTCCCTTTATGCCCTCCTTATTGGAGACCTCACCAAGCCATAGGACCTCCTCATCAATCTCTTCTTGGCCCTGAACAAGCTGTGCCATAGCAAGAAGCTCAGTGGGGAACACCGATGCCTGCAGGGTTTGTCCATCATGTCCCCAGGCCAGGCACCACTGACTGACATCCAGGTTCAGTGGTGCTGTCAGGGATGCTCAAAAAAATGCTTTGTCTGTTTCAGAAGGATGAACATCCAGGTCAAACTAATAATCTCAGCAAAGTTGTAAACAAATTTTGGTTAATTACAATCTGAGGTGAAAGTATAACTTGTCACATTATCATTAGAATAATGAGTCCTAAAATTAAACTTACTACAGACAGGGTGTCCAGGTGAAGAGTCAAATATACCTTGTTCTGTGGAGGCTTTAGAAACATCACCATGGGAAACCTTTTCTGCAACTACAGGTATGCAAATGCCCACTTGAATTACATAGGATTTACTGATGTAGAAGTTGCTCTTTTGTTTGTCATAAGAAATATTTACATTTAAACCAGTTCTTTGAAAGCCTCCAAACATTCTCTTTTGAAAGCAAAGCAGAAACATTTGCTCTTTTTAAAAATAAATCTATGGTCAATTAATAACACTTTGAGGATAAGTGTGATACTTCCAAAGGCTTCAAAACAGCAAGCTAAGATAAGCCTATGGTCAGGAAGCTGACATTCACTATAAGACATATGAAATGTCTTTGCAAACATTTTGGAGGAGTCTTCAAACAAAAATTAAAACAGCCTTTATATAACAATAAATCATGGTATCTTTAAAACCAAATCTGACTGAAAGGATTCTCATTTTCTCCCGTGTTGCAACTGCTTTGTATTTTTCCAGTAAGAAACATTCAGCAATGACCTCTGTGGGATGTGATGAGTACAACAGCACTTCCCAGACAGTGAAATCATTCTGTACTGATGCTAATTGCCATCCTTATCACAGAAGTCAAAAAGAAGAGAAAGGTATGTTGAGGAGAGACCGAAGCCAAGGTCTAGAAAGTCTCTGGTTTTCACCCACGATTCAGCACAAGGTTAGAGAGAGTCAACAGCTTCTCACCTCATTCCCGATATCAGCAAAGGGATTGCATAATGTTAGCACTTCTAATCTAAGTAGTAAATCAATATATGGAACCTTGTGAATTGTTTATTTATATTAGGAGCAGTGGCTGGTGAAATCAGCTGTTTCTTAAATACAACCCTGTTTCTTCACAGAGTGTACAGCTAGAATCAAAACAACAGAAAACAAACTTTGTACACAAACTTGGTCATTTTGGAGCAAGGACTCCCCCAGAAAAGTTGCCTGAGTTTTGTCTCAGGCTGGTAAAATTTTAATGTGTTCCTTTTTCCTTTGTTTTGTTTTCAGTTGTATTTCTGCTATTTCTCAATAAACTTAGAGCACATCATTAAAAAGAAAGCAAAAGCTGAAGCACTTTGAACCTACACTTCAACTCTGCAATTGGGACTAACGCACTTCTTTCCACTCCACATCTTTTTAAACTGACTCTCTGGTTTTAAAAGAAAACACAACAAAACCAACGTAGCGGTCAGTCAAAAACATTTGGTGTCACAAAGGATTACTCATCTCTCCAAAGAAGTGCATTCCAAGGAGGAATTTCAAGCAGGGGGAACTGAAGGATGGCTGTGAATAAAGGGTGGCATTTTAAGAGAAGGGGCTGCTTCCAAATGTATGATTTGTTTTGTTCTTTGATGGTTTTTGTTCAGCTAGTTCCACTCCCCCTTTAGACTTATACATGAAACCAGATTCAAATATTATCTGCAAATCTGCTTATAACAAATGTCAAAGAATAACAAATTTCTATATTTTTACATAAAGAATAAAAAACTCTTATTGCATCTCCAGCCAAAATACTGGGCCCTTGGGGGAGGGAGCAGAGGGGAAGTAGAGACAAAGTCTAATAGGTGTTCTGAACTGAAATCCTCTAATCAGTTTTGTTCCCCTGATGTACACAAATAAGACTTCTCACTATGAGTCACTATGTAGAAAAATGAACAGCAGCTTGCAAGCACTGAACATATACTCGCATTATGTAATTACATAATTGGTTTAAGCCATATTCCATGCATGAAGCAGCAACATGTACCTGCTTGCACATAACATCTGTATTTTGCAAAAACATCACCTTCATTACCTGCTCAGATGTGTGCCAAGTTTAGAGATACTTTCTTTTCTAGAGGTAATGCCTGACAGTAACATTCTGCCTGCTTAGGCTTCAAGACACCCGAGCAATGAGAGCACACGAATTCTGGTTTCCTTTTTTCCCCCATAATTCTTTTCTCCAAGCGGTTATCTACTGATCTTGGGTCAAACCAGCACTCACAGGCAGTAGCACTGAGAGTGGCACAAAGCCAAAGGGGAATGCACCTGCAGTGTTCTCTTATTCTACCATTTATGACAAAACTGAAATGCCCCATCCGGAGCAGAGCCTTGGAGTATTAGATCCCAAACAGGATGCAGTAGGAACCAGGAATGCCTGACTGAAGAATATACATTTTAAGAAGGGAAAGCAGTATTGACAGAGATATTTTTGATCTATATCACAAGAAATCTAAGGAAAGATGTGGCACTCTGAATTTAATTTTGTTGGTGCAAACAGTTACATGTCTAATTAGTAAAACAATAATTAGATTTAAAATGGATTTTAGAGGGAACTTTGAACAAAGAAGACTTTGAGTAGTTATCACATAATGAAATATGTTCTAGTGCTGCCTAGAGACATTCAAAAGAAATAAAATGAAATGGTATAAAAAATGAAATGTTTTATTTAAGTTTTCACAAGATCCAGTCTAAAATGTACAACCACAATTAACAGCCACAACAAGGCAGACTTACTACAAAGAGCCCATTAGATTAGGATAGATTAGGGCTAAAAAATTGTCTTCTTCCAGTCTGTTCCATACTTTCATCATCAATATCTCTTGGGTATTACAGTTTCCTTTAAAGGAATCATAGCATTTTAAATACGATGCCCTAATTTAGTATGAAACCATTTGGGGAATTCATTAGAGCAAAGACTAAAATTCAGTGAGGACCTTGACCTCAATAGTTTTTCTATTTACATATGTGATGGCAGAAGATTGTCTTGACAGAAACAGCAAGGACAGCTCTTAATCGATACTTTTTTCCACAATAATTTTTTTAAATTTAGATAGTAAAAAAAAAATAAAAATTTTTTTCATGTTAACTCTGTTCCAATTTTTCATCTGAGCTCAATTTTTATAAAAATACAATATTTCAAAAAATAACACGAGTCCTAAGCATGTGTGTCTGTGGGCTGGCTGCCACTTCCTCTGCATTTCCAAGGTACGTGAAACAGGGAAGTACAAGCAATATTCTCTGTGATGTTCCCATGCATATAATTCTCACAGGGAGCAGTTGCACGTGCACATAATTCTCCAAATTTGTATTGTGAGAAGCACTGTTGCTAAGGTTAGAATGACTCAACTTATTGCTTATCTGTTTGTAATCATTCCTGTAAGTCTCAGGGGCAAATATGCATCAGTAGATTGCATGAAGGACAGACCTAATCTCATGCCCAAACCACAGTTTGGTGCAGAAAGGAATACTTACTCATTTTACAGTAACTGGCTTCCTATGTAACAATTCACCTATTACACAAAGATTAAATGGTGTGTTTCTGTTGGTTTTTGCTATTTCATTTCTTAAAACGAAAAATAAAACAAATAGTCCTTAACACTGACGAACTGTGAGCTCTTTTCTATACTCGTTCACTTAAAATTACATCTAAGAGAAATTTCTGAAAATTATTTGGTAATAGATTGGCAATCTACATATACAAGTCTTATGAAGTCATCTTGTTATTATGAACAGCCTTGTGTGATTTTTTTTAAACAATCTGTAAATGACTCTTGGAACATCTGTTTCCATGGTTGTAAATCCCTATAAGAATCAGTACAAACTAATCCTGCTTTCATCAGATATACTCTCTTTTTGTTTCAGAGATTGCTGTGCCCAGAGGGTAAAATGATGGAGTCTCAACACAAAACTCTAGCCCAAGGACAGAAGTATTGTATATGCTTTAAAGCAAGTAGGTATCCTTCCCGTACTAAAATACTCTGCACATCCTGTCTCAATTACAGCAAGCTGCCAATCTGCCCTGACATGCTCCAGCAGTTCTGCCTCAGCCTGTTCCTGAACTTACAAGGGAGTCCTTACAAGACAGTCTTGCAGCTTTCTGTCATGATTTACTAGACAGTGTACCTATAAGAAGCTCATTTACCCAGCTTGTCAAAAATGTCAGGATTTTGACAGAATTCAAATTACATTCTTTTAATTCTGCCTTTGCAGCAAAGCTTTCAGTTGTATCTTGTTTTTTCTAGCACAACCTCTTTCTTCAGAGGCTGGTTGATCACTGCACTGTTTGCCATCAGCCCAGCACAGTTACCTCAATAGCACTGTGGACCATTAAAAAAGGAACACAAATTCCAGGCAAGAAGTGTTATTTATGCACAGTTTGCAGTAGTGGTACAGAGCCCTTCAGCAATTTTGCATGTTACACTGAACAGTGTAAGAAAAATATGATTCTTTTTTCTTGGTCACCTTTTTCAGATTGTTTAGAAGTCACCCACAAAACATTCCCCACATACACTTTTACCTCTCCTGTCCACTTAGGTCTATAAAAGCTCTTGCTTACATGGACAAAGATGCCAGAGTAACAAGTTCCTACATTCTTAATAGCATTTTCCAGTCAACAAGTCAACATTTCCTTTGCATAGTAACTTCATTGTCAAAATCTTTGCATCTAAATTGATCTGTTTCCATTCATAACATTTGTGGTACACAGAACGTCTGCCCATGAAAAGAAACAGAAATGCCAGACAAAGATGGGAAGTGCTGCTTAACACCGTGTCTTTCAAAAAGATATTTGAAATTCTTAGTTTAAAAAGCTGCTTGTGAGATCAAGGATTTGACTCAGCATTCAGATCTGTAAAGTAAAAGCACTTTTAATGGAGAGTCCAGGTGAAAATCAGTCTGTTACACTGTGGTAAAGGTAACAAAACTGTGACTCTTTTAAATGCTCACACTTGTGACATGGACTTCCCTTTTGCCATGAAAACAGAAGAGAATTCTACTTACACAATCAGTTTTTCTTATCAGTGGCTGCTACCTACGGGTACATGTTGTTCCTCAGGTTTACAATTAACGTCATACAGGCAAGAAATATTAATAGAATATGCTTCATTTACACAATACTTCTAAGGACTATGCTTTTGTTTCTGTTGGTTCTATTAGAAGTTGATTCTTGGAGTCAGTTATTTAATTTATTCACATGACACTATATATGCAAATTGTTTGCAAAAATAGTTGTTGTAGTAGTTGTAGAAGAAGTAAATGCGTGTGAAGCCGAGTTCTGAAAGTGAGTTCACAGGCACTGGGTTGGGAAGGGGAACTACTGGATTCTGAGGTGTTCTCTGCCTCTGCTGCTCTTGTATTCAGACCCCAAAACTGCCCGAAAGCAGACACCCCCCATATCTGCCATGGGATCTGGCTCCACAGGCCTGCCCAGGTATCAGTGTTACACACAGCTGACAAATACCCTGATAACAGTTTCTTCTTGTCCAGATGAATAGTATCCCTTACCTGCCTATTTTCTTACCAGACAATGATAGTTAAGAAAGATGATGCTGGGGAGTTTCAGCTTTAGCCTATGTTACCTAGATAATTTAACTCCTGCATTATTACACAATAGAAGCATCCTCACATAAAAGACTTGTAGCAGCTTGAGAAAATGAGAAGGCAGTGCAGAAATAGGCAGGGTAACAAAAGGTACATTATACCCACTGAACAAACAGCCTGAGCAATTCCATGTCTTACCAAGTTTTAGAATATTATTTTCATTACTTCATCCAACCATATTACTGGGCCTGATGAGATGCCTCACTTACCTCCTCATTATCAAGGCTACAAACAGCAGAATGGCTATTTTTCCTTCAGGCATTATTGATCAGCCTTGACAGTAACACCCTGCAGGAGAAAGGTTGGGAGTAGCCCAAGTGTCAGTCCAGGACACTGGAGTGCAGCAGCAGCACCTTTCCTCTCCTCCCAGCCCAAGTGTGGGTCAGTCCTGCCTGCAGAGGTTGCTCAGTGAACTGAACAACCCAAGAGCAGAGCATGCAATGGAGGAGCAGTGCTAGTTCTCAGAATTTAAGGGGTTGCTTAAAACAAAGCAGATATATTTCTGAGACATGCTTTCACACTGGATTAATGTACTCTATGGTAAGATCTGAACTCCCCAAAGACCAGCTACATCTGTCTTGGGCTGGTATAGTAAGTTTATTCCTTCTTAGGAGTAAATTTCTCATATTAAAAAGTAAATTCTGTAACATGGAAACTTGCAAAGCACAGAATAGAACACAGTTTCACTCTTTCCCCTCTTTATCTCTGCT